ATCTGTAAATATGCTATTGTAGTTTTGTCTTTGTTTACTTAGTTAAGCAGCAGCAGCCCATTGCTCATTAGTCATCACTCAAAATACTGTATAAAGGACATCGTTATTATCTATTGTAATGTTACAGTTATAGTAATTTAGCAGACAAATAATCATTTTATAATATTTAGGTTTAGGGGGAGCTAGGGCAGACAACAACACAACCCTTACGAAAATTAACAATGATTTTACTATAAATCCAAAGTAGGCTATTTAGAAAGTATAGTTTTGTTAAATCTTGAGTATTAAAGTCAAGAGAGAGATAGAGTTCAGGGCAAAATAAAGAGACTGAAAAGAAAAATGGAAGTGAAGGTGCAGTTCAGGAGAGAACTTTTAATTATTTTGCATGTCCCCAACCTAAGGATTTAAACCTTTTTTATGTGAGGTCCATACAAAACATAGGGTTGTCCATGTTTCAGAATTTGTTGTGGGTGGATGAGTGTGAGATTTCCCGGCCTGAATTTTTTTCCCCCAGTCCGCCCCTCGTGGAAATGAATGGCGCAGACATGCGGTTTCATTTACTACACATAGGCCTACTGAAGCTTGCGGTGTTTTCAGCCTCTGCCACCTCAATATATGAGTACATGAACACATAAACATAATCTCTAGAACTGCCCTGAGTCACTTCATGAGCATTTTACTGAGAAAAATATCGTCATATATACAAAGAGACACCAATGTTTCAGGAGTTTAATACACAGAAAAGGACACATGCTTATTAGATAGCTGTATTTGAGTTGATGTATATGCTTTTATTTATTATTATTTTGTAATTTTTAAAAACCTTTTTTTTCCCCCAAACCATTGTTAGATGCAGTGTTTCCTGTAGTTATGCAAAGATTTCTTATCTATTAACTATTTCTTATGATTTTAAATCTGCATTGAACTTCAGATCAATCTCAAAGTAAAAGGTGGTACTTAAGTCTGGTTTCGTGGTGGATGTGTTCAAATTTGATCATCTTAATTCAAGTGATGAAGGATTTTGAAAGTCTGACAGTGTTGAGCACTACGGTAAGGTTAACCCTGCACGGTGTAAATGTTTGAAAATGATTAACAGTTGCAAATAAACATTCATTAGAAATTTAGAAAAGTAATCAAAAGTAATCAGTTATATTACTTTAATAAAGTAATTGAAAAAGTTACACTACTATTACATTTTAAATAGGGTAACTTGTAATCTGTAACCTATTACATTTCCAAAGTAACCTTCCCAACACTATGCGTATGTATGCAGATGCATATGTAAAATAACACGATCATCAAGCATTAAACAGCATATAAATCAAAACTTCCTAACGTTACCGAATTAAATGATGATCCAGAAAGTGGTATAGGACCGTGCAAGCTTTGGATGTGTTGATGGAAATGAACGACTCAAGCATGAAACTTACCCACATTCAAGTGTTGATAAAAAATGATTCCATGAAGCTAGAATAAAATTGTTTATTTTTTGTTTTGTTTAAAGGGGTCATATGATGCTGCTAAAAATAACATTATTTGGTGTATTTGGTGTAATGAAATGTGTTTATGCGGTTTAAGTTTCAAAAAACACATTATTTTCCACATACTGTACATTATTGTTTCTCCTCTATGCCCCACCTTTCTGAAACGCATCGATTTTTACAAAGCTCATCGGTCTGAAAAAGCGAGGTGTGCTGTGATTGGCCAGCTATCCAGTGCGTTGTGATTGGCCGAATACCTCAAGCGTGTGACGGAAATGTTACGCCCCTCACCATACTGTGATGCCGTGTCCGGCCGGAGCGATGATTCAAAAACATTAAAACCCATTATAAACGAGGCATTCGTTGCATCCAGTGGGGACATAATTATGGATTATAATGACTTA